GTCATGTAAGCTACTTTAGTAAAACAAAAGAAATAAAAAGTGAATAGCATTGCTAACATTGTGGGAAACTTTACTCTTTGGAAGGGCTCTGTCACAATCTGTTGATCTGTTTGGCTCGGTTTCAAAGGTTTTTTTTTTTTTTTTTAGATATTGTGGAGTTGTCGGACAAATGTATGCAGACAATCTAGTACGGATGCGCTGCCGGTGTTCTGCACTGTCCAAGCAGACACATATCTTATAATTAGAGCAACTATGCCTCTGTAATGTCTGCAGCTGTCAGACAATGTGCAGCACGGGAGCAGGAAAAAAGCGCTTGCACTGACTGGGAAATGACATATCTTTCCTGCTAATGGAGTCAAGTGGACCTAATGTGGACTGCCAAAAAAAGGGAAAGGTCCAATAAACACAACCTTCATTTCTCAATGAATGAGTTTCTGCGTTGCATGCAACCCCAAAGGCTTATCTATCAGGACTTGACCTAAGACAAAGCAATGTGAGAGCATGAACCACAGAAAGCAATCCGAGAGATTTAAGCCGCAGCAGACAAAATCGGAGCTAGCGGATGAATTTCAATGACAGTCTGGCCACAGTATTAAAAGCCATCAGGAAAAACTATCTCTTGATTGCATTGCTAAACCCAACTAAACCGTTGGACCAAATTTGGACTCAGATGTCGAGCAATTTCCATATTGAAAGTAATACTCTCATTGTGGTTTTTGATCAAGATGGTTACAAACAAGCTTCAGGGCTTTGAGGACGTATTGACCCTGTTGCGGATTTCATCTGTTTTTGTTTTTGTATTTTGTCACGCTGAAATATTTTAGACATGGTGGTGGTAGTGTCATGGTTTTGCAAGGGAATAGTCAAAGTCTGCACTAAAATTCAGTTTTGGTGCTGTGTCATGAGCTTAAACCGGCTGTACAACATCTTAAGAATAATCCGAAACAGCTATGTAAAGAGTGAGCAAAATGTCTACCACAATGGGTGTAAAAGACGCTTTGACATTGATCACAAATGGTTGATAGTAGCTGTTGCTAACAAAGTTGGTACAATGAGTTTTGTCTGATGTTGAGATTGGTTTGCAGGAGAAATGAGGCACATATTTAAATACTTTAACTAGTCCAGAGTCACTTGTCATGCATCTCCCAGAAGGTTTAAAGGCGTATGTACGCACATATTCATGGTTCACGGTTTTAACAAGCACCCAAAGACTTGGACAAAACAAGTTACAGGACAAAGCTTCATTTTTATACAACACACATTATCTCCCGTCCAACTCTGAGGCTATATGCCTCAGAGTTGGACTATATTTGGTTGGAAAGTTTACATTTATGTCTTCCCGAAGGGCTGAAATGTAGGACAGCTAACGATGGTGAACGTTACGTCTGCGGTGTTTGTCTTTCTCGGCCGATAAACTGATTATATTTGACGTGTCCCTGTTGACTCACGGAGGCCGCTCGGATTGTCTTCTTTACCCAGCACTAAGTTATTTTCAGAGGCAGTGTTTTGACGACCTCCTCAGAATACAGGGAAGACAGAGAAAATGTCCAGTGAGGGCTGGCGTCTGGTATGATCGCTGCTTCAGAGCCCTCAGTCACATCAGAAGTGATTAGAGTTGTTACTCCCATTTGCACTTGACCGGAAAGGTAATTTGTGTGTGTTTCACACACAAAGAACGAACTTGTGAGATTAATTTTGGCAGGGGGAACAGGACACCTTCTCCAACCTAAGCTGATAGGAATCATCTTCCCACTGGTTTTTGTGGCAGTCAGTTTTCATCCTTTCTCATACAGATTATTAGGCGAGACCTAAATTGAAATTCAAAAGGCTTGTGGCTGGAAAAATATAAATTTATCCTTTCTGGACAAAAAAAAGGCCTCCTCTGACCTGGATGAACTGTTTTTAGCTCAAGCTCATTAAATCTCCAGGCGAATTTGGACATGCAGGGAAATGAACCTTGCAAGAACGTCTCAGATGACTTCAATTATCTAATAAGCAATTACCATCACAACAAAAAACTACAATTAACTCACCATAGAGACATAGTTGGATTATATTGCATCCAGCGTTAGGGGGATCAGTCGCAATTAAGATCTTTCACGCATTATACTGCTAAAAAAGTATAAAAGTACTAACTCCTCATTGGATTTAGATGTTCCAGTCAAATGGACAACAATGCACAAGATGTAGAATAAAGGATCTAATGATGGGAAGATTGGCTCTTGCGGCACGACTTCTAAAGAGCCAGCCTTTAACTTGTTGCCATCTCATATTTTTTGCTCAACTTGGAAACGCGAATGTTTTGTATGTAACGTTACAACTGGTGTCGTAAGGTTAATTATGTAAATATGAGTGTGCAGATGCCTGTCGCTGATTGGCTCCTGAAGACTGAGGAGACTCCGGATTGGTGGCCTGCCAGAGGTGGACATCCTGCATCCATCCCGCGCTCATCCCAACTGGCCACACTGCTTGTCTTTGTTAAAGACCTTGTAAAAGTTCTTGAAGGAGTTTGCAGGAGTGAGCGGACGTTTATTTTTGTCTAAGTTTAGATTTATTTAAGGAGGCAAGTTTCTGTAATTTGGTTATTTACTTTCGAATAGCTAAGTTCTGGTTAACATTAAGATAGTTGCTATATTCGGCTCTTCTGATTCACTACACGGCTGGTCACTAAAAGGTACCCGATCGTGCAGACTGCTGCTAAAAATATCTATAAAAAATGGGTTACTATCAAGAGCTCAGTGAATTCAGCTGTGGTACCAGGAGGCTACAAGTAGAATAAATCAATTTGTTGAAATTTCCTTGATGCTAGACCACATTCAATCACTGAACGTGGCAGTTCATAGAGTGCCTTAGTCGCGGATTGTCTTCTGAGTAAACAGCTACTGACCTCCAAACTTTGTGAATTTCAGAATAATTTACAGAGCTCATAGAGAGCTTCTTGGAATGGATTTCCAAGGCACCAAGTTCAATACAAAGCATAGGATGCAGAGGGGTAAAGCAGCCCTCCACTGGACTCTGGTATCCCAATGGACGAGTATGGACCAATGGATTTTTATGGGCACTGCCTGACTGCATTGTGTCAAGTAGAGGATGAATTATGACGGCTGTATTTTGTCAATGTGCACAAAAGGGCTCAAAGCAAGTTCCATCTTGACTGGAATGAATAGAGTCTTGATGTCAACACCATGGAGCACATTGAGAATAATCTCAGGTCTTCTGGTTCTGGTCTACTCAACACCCCCAGAACCAGAACCAAACAAGGAGAAGCAGCATCCAGTTTCTATCAGTGACGTGCGGTCAGGGGAGGCAGGTGAGGTCATCATGGAAAAATAATATATAATAATAAAACCATTTATATTGTTATTTTCACCCTGTGGTTTGTATCTATTTTTTACTTAGCTTAACCAATTCTGATGATTTTTTCTTCAAAATCTCTGGATTTTCGCATTTTCCCATTCAAATGCTCAGAAGCGAAGCTGGTGAGGCAGCAGCGAGCTGAGCCTCACCTGGGATTGCGCAACCTCTCACTGGCTGCCATTCTGTGGGAGCATGTTCGTCCTGTCTGTACGCCGGCAATAAAATGGCTAAAAAACATTTAATATATGGACTGATTTTCCATAATTTAGCTTATGTATATAATGTACAGTGTTTTTTTTTGTCACCAACTGTGTGTGTATCGTGTTTTGTGTGCGGAGGAGCGATCAGAAACGGCAGATAACAGACTCCAGGGGAGGCAGGCAGTTCTCTTGCCTCATGGCAGGGGGCGCTCATGATCCCAGATATTGTGACTGCACAACTGCAGAGTAAGACACAGTGAGCTAGCCATGGAGCTAGCCATACAGTAAATAAGTAAAGTACAGCGATATATTTGTTTTCTCCTCTCTTCCGACGTCAACATGAAAGACTACATTTCTACACTTAAACAGTTTTCTAAAGTAGATTTTCAGTTGAAGCAGGAGATAATAACTAAAGGAAGACCAACACCGGAGCTGAAGGTTTTGCTTCGAGACAGTTTGATGATTCTTAAACGAGTAGAAAAGACATGCCGAGGATAGACTTGGCTTGGATGAACGGATATTTTTGTGCAGAATTAGCGGTGCATGGATTTCATTGATAGATAAAGGTAAGACAGCAATAAGATCTTTTTTTTTTTTTAATGTGCGTTTTTTGGGCTACAGTTTGTATGTCTAAATAATTCAGTAAAGTAGAAGCCATTTTAACAAAAATAGTGAGTAATCTACCACAGCATTATTTATTAATTAAACATTAAGCCTAAAACGTACTACAACAACATACTAAATGTTCTGTTCTGTGTGCAAAATTCTTGAATGTTTTTTGGTGTTAAATCCTAAAACATGAAGTGGCATTGTTGTCAGTTGCTATGGCAACGAGTCTGCGTAGGTTAACGAATACAGATAACTTTGCTGTGGATCATAGCACGAAATCAATATCTACATTTCTAAGTTTCACTGAGTTAACGCGGCTATGGATGACATGTAAATGATTAGTCTTTTTGGTCATAAGTCAGTGCCTCACCAGCAATGAACCTCACCGCACATCACTGGTTTCTATGTACCTCAAATCTGGAAGAAAGTCGAAACACTGAGTTTCGACTGTTGAGAGTTGCCTTTTGTTAGTAGGAGGTCAGACACTGATCAGCTGTGTATTTTCTTGATGACTGGAATTTCACCATATGTAATCTGTGTTGCTTGTGTCATAGTTGGACTATGAACTGCCTTGTTGCTGAAATGTGCTGTACAAATAAACTTGACTTGACTAAACTAGATGACCAGACTCAGTTCATCTCGTTCCAAAAACTCCAGTCCACCTTCTCACATCTGTACGTACCCATGAAGTACATGACCATCTTGCACATGCCGAGGCCAAAGATGAAATCCTTCATGACGTTGGGGATTAAGGTGAAGGGGATGCACACCAGGGAGACCAGGAGGTCGCTCACTGCCAGGGACAGCAGGAACAGATTGGTGATGGTCTTCTGCCACTGTCTTCGTCCTACCGGCAGCAGGACGATGATGATGATGCTGTTGCCTATGAGGCTGAGGAGGAAGATGATGCTGTACAGGACGATCCGGACGGGCTGGGAGATGTCTAAGAAGGAAACACGTGTTAAAGTCTTTGTTTTCTTTAAATTGGACCATGACAATGTGGATTCTGGAAAGAAGCTCTCAGACTGCAGGAATGCTATGTGGGCTTCTGATAACGACAAGTCAGTTTACTTTCCCATCGGTCGATATTTCTGCATTAAAAATCATTTTTATAATCATTTTTAACACCTTCTGTCCAGCAGTGTGGCGCTCAGAATTATTGTCAACAAATTTACTTTTACATGCGTGTCATGCCATGATGCTCCACTTGAGAAACATATGAAACTTTGTTAGAAATTGCTTTGGGTTAATTATTTCAAATGTAATGGACACAGAGACAAAACGAGAAATGGACGGTGAAGAGATTTGAAGGGAAAGAACGAGATAGGAGAGAAGGAGCCATAGAGAGGACACAAGTCAACACCTGCCTCTAAGCCTGCGGAAATAGAAAACACAAAAACCAAGAAACCACAACAACAAACAACATGCACACAATAACAGCTGCAATCGCCTTGGAAAGTGCGCAGTACGTCGTCATACGAGGTGTATTTAGTGGCAACTGAGAGTGCATCTGACAAAAACCGGAGTCTAAACAGAGATTGGACCAGTCATATTAAAATTTCTCCCTCCATGTTAATGAACGGTTTATCGCTACAAAACGTGTAGAATCAGACAATCACTTAAATAGAACATGAAGTCAGCTAAAAGTTGGATTGTGCAGAACGACAATGACCTGAAGTACAGCAGAAAGTCCATGTCTGACTGGATCACATGAAAGAATATTCTGGAAACATAAATACAAACGGAGAAACTGGTTTTTTTTATGGCCCTCAAGGTTGTTGATCGTTGGAAACCCTTTGATGTGGCTGTAATAAATAATTGTAAAAAAATATCTACAAATAGAGTGCCAAACATCTGCAACCAGACACTATCAGTTGTCTCTGAAATGTTTTTAATTACTTCTTGAATAGGTTCCCCCCCCCCTCATAATAAATAAAACCATCATTCCAAACCTGCTTTTAAACATTTTCTGATACTATTTGAGTGCTAATCTGAAGCATTTCAGTAAGAAAAGTTGAATCAGAAATGAAAAAAAATTTTTTTTTAAATACTGTGACTTTCACGTAATTTAATTACTGAAAACGATGATCTTTTTCAGTGGCATTCTGAGATGCACCTGCATGTTGTGAGGCTACTATCCCACCTGTCACCATTTGGAGCTTTCTGCCCATTTGGGCCACATCTAAGTTCCGCTCTGGGTCTTCTGTCCTTTTACACTCTGTGTGTATTTTCAAAGTCATTTGCCTCCCTTAAGGAAACATCACTCTAATATTTATATAAAAATGTGACTCATGTGCAGCCCCGCTGATGCTCAGCGTGCGCATTTTTATGAGTCGGTGCATCACTTCGGGCTGTGGTAGCCTTCCAGGGTTTTATTTGCAAAAATGTTCCAAACTGGAGCTTTTTACGTCCCAGTTTTTTATTTATTTATTTTTTTATTTTCCCGCAAAGTGCACAAATTCAGTTTGTGCTCACTTGACCGTGCAGGACCAGCGAGCGCTGACTGCATTAGCTTTTGTGGAGGACCTGAGCCGTGCGCGTAATGCGCAATGACGCAAGAAAAAATGCCCCAAGCGGTCGCCTTTCCTCCCCGCTCGTTTCTTTCTTACTTTCTTTCTTTTTTTATTTTTTATTTTTTGCCACAATCTGGAGTTCAAAAGACTATTTTAGGTAAATCGAGAAATCTTCACAGACATGTTATATCGATATACTGGTTTACTTTACCGTTAGAGTCTGGAGAGGGGCCCCGTCTTGGCTCGTAATCCGAAATATTGATCCCGAAGCGGCTCAAGACATTGTTCAGATCTGTTGAATTAATCAGGAAGTCATAGGTCGTGATAGTCTCCATTTCGCCTTCTCTCCTCTGTGTGTGAGCTCAGGTCAAATCTGTCTGAAGCTCAGCAGCGGTCATGCTCTTTCATAAGAGAGAGCGAGAGAAAAAGAGAGAGAGAGAGAATGCGCGCATGGATCTCGAACTTTAAATATCCATTCACAAAGCAAAAGCAACGAGTGAAGGAAAAAGCAGCTCTCACTGCTGCGCTCCTCTGTTGTTGACAGCATGCGGAGAGAGATCGTCAGCCCGCCTATATGACCAGCAAACCCTCCTCCCTTCCAAAGAAAGCTGGCAAACAAATCCCAATCAGAGCTGAAGAGTTTGATTACAAACATCATTTGTATCCCTGGCAATATTGAAAGTGCTTCTCACCCTCTGCACGGGCATGCTGCTGCAGGCTGTGGCATTTTCTTGAGAACGGGCGTGAAAGTGTAAACGTTCTGATGCGTGGATAGACAGACAGGCTGTCATCAGCCATTAAGTTAGGCGTTCAAAAGGCGATGATTATTGTTGTGCTAAAAAGAGAAAGCCAAAAATGCATTTAAAAAAAATCAGTATTTACAAGCCCTCTGTTGTTGTTGTTGTACCAAACAGATTAAATGAGTGGCTTTTTAGAACTCATTTCCAAGGAGTTGATAATAGATGGTTAGGACTCATAGAATGACAAGATAGCAGGTAAAACAGGCTGGTCCAGGCTTAGTTTCACAGCTCAGTTTTACATTTCTTTGAATCAGAGTACTTAAGAAAACGATAAGTAGATTATTTTCTGATGTTATAAACTTGTCCTTACTGTATAATCGCTTCTTACTTTTGTTATGTTGTCGCTTTTGTGAATTTGCATGCTTCCATTTGCCTTTCACTTGACTTGACTGCTGGCACACTGGACAGTATAATATATTTCTATTTTAATCAAGTCTAGTGTTACATTTGGCTTGATTTGTGTTCTGCTGCATCTTATTCTTTGTGATTTATTGGATTTGTAAGGTGTATTTTTGGCAGCAAAACAGAATCAAGTTGCTCCATAACCCAGAGGTCATGGCAACAATTTCCCAAAACTTTATTCATGTCTTTTAGTTTAAAAGACATACCACGTGGCTGAAGTAATCATGTGTTTGACCTGACTTGTTATCTGCGTTTTATCTCATCTTTCTGATTACAAAGCTAAGATAAGAAAAGAAAACGTGAATGTTGGGAAATATTTGTCTAAACATTCTCTTAAGAAAAGATTTGTTAGAGGTATAGCGTTCAATGTAAACTTCACAAATCGTTCAAACCTTTAGGAATGTTCACTAAAAGGTTTCGTAAAGATTAATTGCAGCTTCCATTACATATAAAGAATTCCCTAAAGGTGAGTTGTGCATTTGACACTGCCTAAATATTTTATTAAAGTTAGCTTGAACTGTTATTATCTTTTCAGACAACCTTTGAAGGTTACATTCGGCAATGGGAGAAAAGTTTGCTGCGTTTTTATTCAGTCGGAACCAAAGTATCAGGTGTTTGTTTCTCGCGCACCGACCTTGGTTGCTAAGTAACCCCCGTGGTGCTGCTGCGGCTGCTGCTTGAGGGATGCTGAGAGTTTAGCCGCAGCATCTCTTGAAAGCGGGCCGTGTGAGGTGTCCAGGTGAAACCGGAGGATGGACGAAGGCACCGAGTTATCCCTGAGCATCGCCCATATCGTCCAGCGTCTCAAAGGAAGCCATTTACACTCTCAGATAGAGAGGCAAGCTAAAGTGAGTCAGTTAGCATGCGGCTAACGATGCGGAGCTAGCTGTTGCTGTATGGTGCAGTGTTTCAGTAATAAGCAGTTTTTTCCCCTCTTTCTTGTTCAGCTTCATTGTAAACTATGAAACTCTTTTTAGGACTGTTTACATCGTCCTGAGATAAAATTGGAGTCGCTAAAGGAAGACGTGCGGAGTTTTCTGAAAACATCAGGTAGGCTGAGGTCTATTTTGCTACCTGCTGCCACGCCACAGCACGCCTTTAATATAAGAGCGACAGAAAGATGAATATCCGGATGTGTTTCTCTGTTTAGGTTGGGAGAAAAAGCTGCAGAATGCCATCTACAGAGAACTTCACATGTAAGTCAAATATACATGAAGCTCTTTTCCCAAACAGCTGCCAGGATCCAGTTAGGACTTAGGTTGCAGTCAGGTTCTTGGTGACGGCCAGGAAGATCTTTTCCTCCATCATCCACGACATGGAACTATTTTCAATATTTTGAGCTTCTTTAACAACAAACACTTGTTGTTGAGAATGTTTTGGCTTATTCTCCATCAACATATCTGACTCTGTTTAGGTCATCCCCATCTTCTAATACTGGTTCCCTGTTCTGTTTTATAGCTTTTTTTTTGCACAGAGAGAGGGTTCTGATATATTCAGACCTGAATGAAATGTATTTCAGATCTGAATAATTGGGAAAAGGAAAAAGGAAAAAAAATAGGATGTGTACATCTTTATTTGTATTTGTTTATTTGTTTTGTTGCCTGTAAGATCCATCCATCCTGTTGTTTTTCCATATTTAAGTAAATATCTGGAATATCTGCAGTGATTTATGTCTGGAAAAGAAAACAAACAAACAAACAAAAAAAAAGGCGTGATCTGGGAGTGAGATCTATAGAGTTAAAATCCATTGTTACAAAGGTGGACATAAATCTAATGTAATGTAATCAAAATGCAGTTTTAACAGTTTTTTATTTCATTCAAGTATAAATCTGTGTTTTAAAAGCTGCAGTAAATTAACCAGATTTCACTCTTTTACACCTGTGTTGTTCAGATAAAGCTTTTTAATCATTTGCTGCCACTCTTTTCAGATATACAAAAATATGATTGTATTATATTCATACACTTCACTGTTAAGTTTATGTCATAGTGTTTAGGAGACAGTTTCTCATCTATATATTCTTATTTTAATTGCCTTTGAATTGTTCATATTTTACCTTTTTTTTATCTGGTATACAACTTCAGGCTAACTGGCTAAAACTAATAAATTTCTCTGATGTATGTGTCTTGCACCTCCCCTCATGTAGGATGTATGGTGTTTAATGCACTGAGTCCTTGAGTCATTCAGCATGCCCTGAGCAGGCTTAGTGAAACACTTAGTGCATCTGGTGGAGATTTGTTCTGAGTCATCTAAGCTCTGATCAGGAGGGGGAGGGAGGAGCATTTTTTACTTTAAAAAAATTCTCTGTTTGATGAATTCTCTCTATTTCTGAATAGTGCTCCATTTGCATCAAATCATCAGAGCTGTCAGTCTTTCTCGCAGTCGACGTTTTGTCACACTGCTGCGTCTTTCCCTGTTGCAGCCAGCTGCCTCCGAGCCATCCCACGGCTCCGCTGGAGCATCTTAAAGAGCCGCTGGCCTACATGCGTAAAGCTCAGGTCAGTGCGTCTCCTCTCGTCTCCGTCACTCCTTTGAGCCCCCGTCTTCCTCTCGTTCCCTTTGTCTTTTTCGTCTGCCAATCCTCAGAGATGTAAACCCCCGTTTTTTTCGTGTCACACGTGTGCCGCATGTGTGCGCGCAGGCCAGCTGGGAGAAGCGCATCCTGAAAAGCCTGAACAGCATGAGCACGGAGCTCGGAGTGCCTCTGGCCCGTAAGGTAGGGGGAAAAAAACCGCGGCCCGTCACAGGTAATACCGCTAAACCGCAGAGACTTCTCCAGTGGAAAGGCTGTCGTAACGCTGTATTTGTTTTCGCCAGATGGTAACCAGGCTGTCGTTTTTTTATTTTTTTATCTCTGTGTTCCTTTTCGTGCACACAACTGTATTTAAACATAGCAGAGATCTCTGTTCTGCAGGCCGCATGTTGTTTGTTTTGTAAAGACCCCCCCCTGTTCCCTCTCCTGCTCCCGCAGAGGCCCGGAGCCGAGCAGAAGGAGCTCATCAACAAGTGGAACGAGATGGGCACGGATGAACCAGGTCTGCAGACATTACCCAGGGTTTTTGGCCCCTGCAGTCACCTGCCTGCTATGACAGATTGGTGTTGATGTGTATGCATGGGCTGGTGCATTTAGCATCAGCTTAACAACTTGCCATGTTGCTCTGAACCAGCTCTACCACTTCTGTGTTTGCTTTGCGAGCTATATTTATCCAGCCAAGGATAAAGAGGAATGCGTCCATCGATTGTGACTCTTATTCAGACGTCAGAAACGCCTTAGGAAAAGTTCAGTGTCTTGCAAAAGTAAAACAGATTAATTCAATGTTTTCAATAAATACAAACTACAAACCTCAAAGTTTTCAGTGGGATTTTAGGTGACAGGTCAACACAAAGCGATGAACAGTGATTAAGTAAAAAAAAAAAACATCCAGGGTGTCTGTGCAAGTGTTCAAAGTCTTAAATTAATGTATCTGAAGTTAAAGCCTTAATATGTCTTAAATTAATTAAAAAATGCAGATGTGAGCCTTAAATAAGTCAATCGCAGATCTTAAATTTTGTTGCGGCAGAATTTAATGTCGTATATTTTATACAGTTTCTTTTCTGTCAAGGAAACGTTGAGTCACACACAGACGTCTTCATTTTGTTCTGTGACTCAAGGCGGTTGTGGCTAACCAGCTGCCCCTAACCGCTGGTTACCCACCTGGTAGCCACTGGTAGCTAGCTAGCTCACTTTGTTTGCATCCATCATGGGCAAACTGTAAATTTATCACCATTTTTTTGATATGTCTCTACCGGATGTGAATAGCTAGAGACACCAAATTTTACCCGTTTTTTAAAGATCTTGCTGCCTATTCTCAATTGTATTTGTCTCTGGGCTTTGACTGGGCCATTCTAGCACATGGATATGCTTTGATCTGGACTATTTCATTGTAGCTGTCTATCTCACTCAGCCTCTAGTCTTTCTGGGCTTATTTCCTTGGTCTTCTCAATGCCGTTTGTTCACTAACGTTCTCCAAAAACCTTCACGGAACAGTTAGGATTAAGCTGAAATTACTCATGACCGGAATCATAAAAAATCAATTGCAAAACCTGATCAAATGTTCTGAGGTTTTATTTGTAATGTGAAAAAAGTTCAGAGGTTGTGAACACTTCCGGAAGACAGTGTACTTTGTTGTTAAATTTCAGATTTATTAGCTCTTTCCCTCCCCCTTTTTGCTCGAAGCCAGCCCGTTTCCATGAGCAGGCCAATCTTTTAGTCCTAACAGTGCTATCACAGCTCAGGGACATCTAATAACATTTAGGATGTCCCCCTTCTCTGGCTGTAAACATTGTGGACTGCGAGTATAGAAGCTGTCCAGACCTCTTGCACGGAGTTGCGATAAAGGCTGCGACACCCTGCTTCCATCCCAGAAGTTAAGCCCCGTCCTTCCCTGTTCCGCCAATGAATTTACAATCGTGTCGTCACAATGGAAGCACTCTTCCTCTGACCTCAGAATCTAAAGCAGTCGTTTCTGTGTTTGTTGCAGGCTTAAATCGCTTCAGGCCCGTTTATGCACCCAAAGACTTTCTCGAGGTAATCGCATTTCTTGCTGCTGATGATTTGTTTTTTGTCATGTTGAAAATTTGGAGATGTACCTTTTCGCTTTATTGCCATCATCTCAGGTGTTGATCAGTTTGCGGAACCCCAACCATGACAGCTGCGAGGACGTCAGCGCCCGGAGCCACTGGGGGCTCATTCAGGTTCCCCTCAACATCCGAGATATTCCACAGCTGGTATATATCACATTCTTATATGTTTCTAATGATTTTGTTTTTTTTACACAATATTACATTTTTTAATGAACAAATAAGAAGAAAAAGTATCCGTGTTCCACCAGAGAGTTTTTGATCATCCTGTAGCCCTTGCCAGTTCTGGTGACTGTGACGACCCTGATGGTTGATTTCAGTTGAACCATTACTGTGTCGATTTGGCCTTAAGTTTTAGATTTCCAGCCATGTCGCCATCCTTTGCTTGACCCCAGGGCCACCTGAAGGGTTTGTTAGTGTTGTCTGGTCAAAGCACGCAGCTTAAAGTCCCAGTAGAAGCACCACTTCACGATTGTACTTGTAATGGTATGGCAGAAAAGACCAGTTTCCTTTCATGTGGATAACATCCTCTAACAGTGTTTTCACACCTGATAATCTGGTAGTCTTAGTTCGATTGGGGACCAAAATTGCAACATTTGTTACATTTTCATCTGGTGCAGCTCGCTTTCACACTGCACCGTGTCAAAGGATCCGATCCCTCTGAAGAACCTTTTCACCCCCTTGCCTGTCTGTGGTGGCGCTGAATCAAGAACGAAGAAGGCATGAGCACAACTTCTTTCTTCACTCATGTGAAGGTTGTAGATTCAGTTCCTGCTTCTTCCTGTCATGTGTCTGAAGTGCTTTGACCAGTCAATATTACTGAAAAGGTGCTGGATAAATTTATCATGAATGACCAGTTAACATTTCCTTGACACTCCAGTCAACTTAAAAAAAAAAAGTCATTTGTTGTTATGTGAGATGGATGGTCTTGGTAACCGATCAGTCTGAATGCCTGAGGGCTGTTAGAAAAATATTTTAAGAAAAGTCAGTGGGTGTTAAGTTTGCCTCTTTGACTTTGAGTTGAGTACAACAATTTGCTCAAGAGCAAAACACTATGAAATCTTAGAGGCTCACTGAACATGATTGGTTGAGCCTTCCGACTACTTAGGGCCGTTTTCACTACTGAATTAAAACTAAAACTGAATCCTAAACACCACTTGGTCTCTTTTCCGTGCAGAGTTGATTTTCCTTTTAAAAAAGAACTGAAGTTGAACCACTTTACTTACTACAAATAGAGGAAATTAGAACCTTTGCCTTGTGTCTGCAAGCTAACAGATTCATTAAGCAGGCTGGCGGCCACCCAAGAAGTCAGAATAACATTCTCCCTGCCTCGGATTAATGAGAACAAAGAAGCAGCAGGAGTCCACTTTTGCTATTGGGTTTCTCCGAATTAATTTTGAATACTCAGTAGCATTTGCTTGTCTAAAATGTAAGAGTAAATGATGAAATTTGGGGATAAAAAGGCACTGACTGAACTACAAATGCATTTTGGCACGATTAAATTAATTGATTAAATAATGTCGGAAACTGCTTTTTTTCCCCTCTTTTCTGCTCACAGAGGCAGGCCTACACGGAGCTGAACCTGAGCTCCGGCCAGCTGGGGATTGACGACCTCGCACACGTCCACCCAGGTATTTACAGGAAGCAAAAAGATTCACGTCTGCCCGATGAATCCACGACGAACAAACGTTTTTCACGCGACAGCAGTTCAATCAGTTGCATGACAGCGGGGAAGCTTTCCCTCTCATCGCTCAGTAGCTTATAAGAAGCAGGCACAGAAATCCTTCTTGTTGTGATTAAATACGCGTGTTTTTCCACTGAACAGCTTGGCACACCCACCAGTAAACCCCACCGGCCGTATATCACTGTGGGCTGCTGTGTTAGCTGTCTGGGATTTCTCAAATAGTATCTTCATGAAGTCCAGATATTGACATTGTTCCAGTTTGTCGTTCATGCCTTAAATAGAATGGCCTCCGCTGTCTGTGTGTTTGTAAGTCAGACCGATAATGGTGCTGATCTAATCTGTTCTGCTCTCTCCTTCCTCTAGACCTGTTTGAAAATGACTATGTTCAGATCGGCAAAAAAGGTTAGCGTACACGTGTGTGTGTGTGCTTTTTTTGATTGGTTTTGTTTTGTTATGCAGCCCGAATTTATTGATGTGTGTTAAATATTTACAGTTTTAAACACTCCGTTAGAAATTCAGAATTGTTGTTCATTGGTATCAGCTGAACTCATAGCTTCTAGTCTGGAAAATATTGGGATTTCCAGACCTTATCCGTTATACCATTGCTTAAAGTGTTGCGTGTGCCATTCCTTTCTTCAGTTCTTCCTTATTTGTTTACTTGCTTTCTTCTTCGTACCTTTTCTTCCTCAATCCCCCGTGTCCTTTCTTCCCTTTCTTTCTCTCTGTCCATTACATCTTTCCATCCATGCGCCTTCCCACAGCAGCATGTGCCATTAATTCATTGTAGACTCTTGGCCAATCCTTGAGTTTTAGTTTCAGTTTTTATGCCTGAATGACTAAAGTATGAGGGCTAGGTGGTGTAACATAGAAAAATAAATCCTTTCTGTGAAAATGGTCCAAAACTCGACTAGAAACGATTGACGGAGAAAAGTCTCATAAAACCTCTGAAAGGACCATCTAAAAGGTTACAGAAAGTTTTGTTGGAAGGAGCAAATTCTCCTTCCAGTTGAGTCTGTTTCATAGGTCTTCCTAAACAACTCAAGGAAAACTCCAATAATACCCATTACATGTCATATACACACATAGAAACTGAAAATATACATTTTTATGGCAGGAACAAGTCCCCTACTTCTCTCGCTGACAGATCTTTTTCTCAGGTTCCATAATCAGTAAGAGCAACACTCAAAGCCATGCCGTGAAGCCAGTGTAAACACAAAGCTTAATATGGACACCAATCAAGCATCAATAGCCTTAAAAACACAGGCTGTGCTTTTTATATACAGCGCCACACACCCTCCGCTTGCTGCTTCAGCCTCAGTTGGCTTTGTTTTGACTTCTGGGCTGCGGCCTCTATTCCAGGCCAAGTGTTAAGTGCCTTCAAACTGGAAATTTAGGGGGCCGAGGAGCGTGTTAGTTTACGCTACAACTGGCCTGCACCTTAAGCTGAGGGATGTGTGTTTTGGGCTACTGTCACAGCCTAGATTTAGGATAAGAGTGAGCAAGCTGAAGAGTTATTAAAATGTGCCTGAGGGGCTCTAGAAAGTTGTGCAACTATCACAATTATATGAAGATCTTGATTTCTGGTGTTTATGCTCTTGCAGGCTGTGAAATAGTAAAAGCCCACAAGCCTGATTTAACATGTACAGATGTTCGTTTTCCCATCTGCGCTGCTGGAGGGCCGTGAGCAAGTCAAACAGGAACCGCTTTCTGTTGACTTTAAAGTGAGACTGTGTTGTGTTCATGTGGCAGCGATAACAAGCTAAACTGTCGGAGTGGAGTGGCGTTCAAGCACAGGACGTTGGCAAACCAACAGCAGCACGCCAACGGATTCACACCGCTTAAATATTTCACATTTACTCACGTTACAGCTGCAAACTTAAATGTTACTTATTTAGATTTTTCTTGAGTTGGAACAATACAAAGTTGCACACAACTGGAAAGTGGACAAAAAAAACACAAAATCTTATGAAGTATTTTTGGTGTAGTTTCTAGTGGAAATATCCTTGTACACTTGAAATAAGACAAAGCTAACTTGCGAGTAACTATTCAGCAAGATATAGTGAAAAATGTTTTAATATTGATGAAAATGTTCTAGTTATAAGTGAAACAAACTGCCAGGAGGTGGAGAGTGGATCCATCGTCTACTGGAGCATGCCAAAAGATTCACAGCTTTGATTGCAGTCAAATGTAGCTCTATAAGAAATGTGTAATACTGTGTTTGTAAAAATGTGAAACGTTTTAGGAGGTTTTCATTTAAGCATTAACTTATCGACGCAAAGAGTTGATAAGTTCCTGTCTTGGTTTTTTTTTTTTTTTTTTTTTTGCGTTCCTGCTGATTTTCGATTGCGTTCTGTGTAGTTGTGGTGGAGCAGGACAGCGCGGCGGCCCAGCAGTACAGCAGGCGGGGCTGCCCCACCGGGCTCCGGGCGGCCCTGTGGGCCCTCATCCTGAACTCCACCAACCAGCTGCAGGTACGGCAGCAGATGCACAGACACTCAAGTTCACGGGTCACTTGCACAACCGCCCCGCTTCCCAAGCTGTTTCCCGACAACTCGAATTCTTCTCAGCTGCTTCTGTTTCCCTCTTTTTTTTTTTTTCCCCATTAGATTTTTGTCTGAATCTCCAGTTGGATACATTAACTTCAAGTTAAAAACCAACATATAAACACCAGCTGACCGATAAATTCGAGATAATCTGTGCGTTTGCTGCCGTGGTGTTTATTATAACTGGCCTCGGCTTGTCCCGTGTGTACAAATGTTAGGATAATCAAATGCTTTCGCTCAGTTTAGCCTAAACAGTTCTGCTTGTCTGCCTGTGTGGCAAAACACCAGAGGCCAGGGTAACCTGCTGGGGCCCGGTTTGGAGAATACTGCATGAGATCGGAGGCCTGATTGGGTCAGAGCTCTGGAGCGCAAAGCACATCAAAGAGGGTCGCAAACGTTGCTCGGTGTGTGTAAAAAAGCCAAAAAAACAAACAAAAAAAAGGCCATCTTTTCGGGCACAGATTTTTAAAAAGTGTGAATGTTACTTCCAGTCAAAAGAAACGTTTTGCTAAAATTAAAAAATCATGTTTAACCTAAATCTAGGGTATGAATAAATACGCCACTTGACTGAATTGTTACTGAAACTGAATTACATTTTCATAAAAAAAAAAGAAAAGATCACTTAACCCTGGTCCAAAATCATCTCATGACCACTGTTTAGCACAGTGGAGGATCTATGATGACGTGGGCTCGTTTCTCTTCTGAATGGTCGGCTGGCGTCATCAGATTACCTGGCAGCACGAACTATAGCGAATACCTCGGAAATTTAAGTGAATAATAAATCGGGTTATGTCAGGAAGCGGAAAGTCAATCGTCATTGATTCTTTAGGACGGATAACGATCCAAAACCAAACTGACTAATTCAAAGCAAAAACAGTTCATAAGACTCTAAATCAAGCTGGCAGAAAACCAGTGGGGAGATCCGAAGAGAAAAGAGCACAGCAAAAGATGGAAGGAGCTGAAAGGATTGCACTAACAAGATCCTCAAAACTGATCAACAATACCACTACTAAATTTAAAAGAAAAGTAATCTCAACATTTAATTTCTTTTTTTTGTGGATTGGCAACTGATGGGACTGTCTGGTATTTTAGCAGAAATCTTTTCAAACTTTGTCGTTAATGCGGTCCACAGTACCAGTTCCAGTTGTTCCAGTTTCCTCCCTCAGCTCTCCGCTGCTGCTCTCGCAGCCGGAGCGCTGAGCATTGTCAGGATGCTCAGAAATTGTCGCTGGGAACATTTTTATTGCTCCGTTTGGCTCGTCTGTGAAAAGCTGTCTAAAACCGGAGACGCGTTAAGAGATTAAGCATGTACTCGGAAACACTATACCCTCTCTATTCGTGCTCGATTTAACTGGACTGTCATCACACTTACTGACGGGACGTAATTTAGTAGCGTCTGTAAAGGAAGTGAGAGTTTTCCAAAAAAAAAAAAATATATACAAAGCAGAATACATATTAGGATTTTTTATTTATTTTTTTTGCTCACCATTCACTTAAAAAGTTGTTTCTATTCATTTCAGTTGAACAAAATGACCATTGTAGATGGTAGGAGAAATAAAACCTGCTGAGTCTTTGTCCTTTCAGGACATGATGCACTACGAACAGCTCAGGGCTGGAGTGATCCAACACAACCTGCTGGTAGATAACCTCATCTACAAGGTGAGCTGGTCAACACTCATTCTCCTCTGAGTGAATGAAACGTAGGCACGCCTTTAGCAGATGCTTTTTTCTTTTCTTCTCATAAACAAATTCCTCTGAGTGACTCGGCCTTGGATGTTAAGTTACTGCTGTGTGTGTGTGTGTGTGTGTGTGTGTGTAAATTCACAGGGTTTAGGTCTGAGCTGCTTTTCTTACAGTGGAACTGAAAAATGTACACACATCTGTTGAAATGGGAGAGTTTTTGGCGATGTAAAAACATTACAGCGTCATAAATAATTACAAAGTGTGTGTATGCTGTTTAACTAAAACAGTAGCTTGCATGGAGGCTACAAAGGATCAAAACTATCTCGTACAATACACACGTATCTTTTTGCAGTGAAGGCTTGTGGGAGAATGTGTAATGGTCTGAACTATGAGGAAACTAATCTTGTGCTTTCGTGTCATTGTCCCCGAAAGATGTTTGTATCATGAACCACAGTGAAAGAATGTAGTGAAATCTGATAGTGGATAATTTTCCTCAAATGGAGCTGGGGTGTTTTTAGAAAGTTGTAAACAAAAAAAAAAATATTGAAAGCTGAGGGATCACCTTTAGAAGGTTTTGGACAAGACTTCTATAGTTTAAAGGGGTGCAACACTCGTGCAACCAGGTTACTACCCGTGTGTTGTGTTTTTTTGTTCTCACCTGAAAGGTACAGGATATATGTGACGGTAAAGATGCAAAAAGTTGTTCTGTGTCACAAGATCTGTGAAAACCCTCTGCTTCAACAGGACGTCAAACTCACCGCCAGTAACGACGACTACTACTTTGTGTTTGAAGATTTCCTCTATCAGGTCAGCTCTCTTCTTTATGAGACAGTCAGTATCTCATTATTTACCCTTCCAGTATTTTTTTTACTTAAATAAACAATAGAATTTGATGTAATTGTCAGGATTACAGATTATTACAGATTTCAGTGTTTCTTGTTCGTCCAAATTGTTTACACGTTAGCATGTCTTTTTCTTCTTCTGTTGTTTCACTAGATAACACTGTAAGCATCTTCCTGTTTGGCCACCCTGGGTGTTTACTCCTTCTGTGTGACAACAATCATTTTTATCTGCTGTTTTTCTCTCCAACCAGGCGTCAATAGCTTCTCTGTCAGTCGCTACTCTGTTTGTCTTTGATGCCCCTCTGATAAACATAAGCACTTGCCAAACAGGTTAACTCGGCAGCTGCTTGTTTGCTGTGCTCTTTGGTGACAAACCAATGAACGGGCAAGGTTTATCGAAGACCAGGCTTCTGCATCCTTGTCAGTGTTGACTGATGGCAGACTCACTAGGCAGTGAAAGAATCCACTTCATGTCAAAACGTTAGTTAAGAGACGACAAGAGAAAACGTGGAAGGTTTCTGAGAAATTTCCCAGAACTGTTCAGAGAAGTCATGTTTTCTTAGTGGGTGTTTTTTTTTTTTTTTTGGTGTATTTGAATGATTATTGTTTTTATCTTTGTGACATAGCTGTTATGTTATTTTATGAGGCACCTGCCACAGTTGGACAAGCATGCCTATGGTCTGAAAGACAAACAGAATCATTAAGCAGTAATTAAATATTAGCTGTGATATGAAATATAAATGTGGTTTAGCAATTGTTTTTGAGCATTGATTTTACTCTATGTAAGATTTAGATCTTTACCCAAAGAAACGACAGTGAACTGATTGGATTTGTAGTGTGAAACCTGCTCACAGTAATTTATTTCTTATATATTCCTAAATTCACAACACACACTAACAACTTTCAGGGAGGGAAATGGTGAATAAATACAAGTGAAGTAAACTTTCTCCGAAGATGACAAGATTCCTACACAGTCTGGAATCGTCAAAATTCTGAATTTGACCGAATTTATTTTTGACTTTCAAATAATTTCAATCATCTAGCTGATGTAAAACATTAAAAGTTGTTCAATGGTTCTGTGCTTTTGTACAGAATATGTAACCTACTGCTTTTAGTTGCAAAACACAGTTGGAATACTGCATAATTGTATCCTTACAATGTTTTTCTTAATATTTTTCAAAGGCAGGGAGATTACATGTGGCACTAATCTATCTTAGGAAAACCCTCCAAGTGAATCATCTCTAAAATCAATATGGAGACAACCAGACCGCATGATGAGCTTCTCTCTGTTTTAGATCTTTGACCGAAATGAAAACTAATTTATTCCCGCATGTCTTCATGGAAAGATTTTCCAATCAACGGAGCATTTCTCGAACCTCCTCTCCACCTGATGCTTAGCTCAGTGTACTTCGATACATCCTTGCTGCCTCCAGGTGCACCGTTTAATAGAGTTATTTATGAAGAGATAGCGAGGACGCTCAAGGCTGTCACCATGCCCCGAGTACATAATAATAATAATAATAATAATAGTAATTAATAATGTGAATGGATGCTGCATATTATTCCTTAGAAAGAAGCAGTATGAAGATATTTTTTTTTGGCTCAATTTGGACAAATATTAATGGTGGATTTTCCACTTGAATCCTTGTTCAGCTCAAATTTTGAGTCTGGCTCCGTTTGTTTCCAGGTACTGTTGTGTTTCTCACGGGACACCGCCGTCCTGGAGCACTTCAAGTACAACAGCGCCACTCCGCCTAAATCCTACCTACACGGTGAGATCGCTTGATACCTTTCCATTCTCATACACACGTTGAAGGGCACGTTAGTCACTGAAACAACGATTGTACTCCTAATTCAAGGTATTCAATGCCTTTGTGTGCCTGCCTTGCAGGGAAAGTGGGAGACGAAGAGTATGCTGTCGTTTATCCTCCAAACGGTGAGTTCACGTTGAGAGATTCGGACATGAAGGTTTTTGAATCGAATCAGAGAAAATTCACTCAGCTGGCATTTTTATTTACTCAGGTGTTATCCCCTTCCATGGCTTTTCTATGTATGGTGAGTTGTGTCAAACTCAGTTGTTTCGTTGTAAGTTGAAACATCCAGCGTACAACCACGTGTGTTGTAATTTGTGGATGTTTCCACAGTGGCGCCCTTGTGTTTCTTGTACAACGAGCCGTCCAAACTCTACAGCGTCTTCCGGGAAATGTACATCCGCTACTTTTTTAGGCTGCACTCCATCTCTTCTTCTTTCTCGGTACGAGCCTTTTCTGGGTAAAAGCCGAGTCTTTAAAGCTCCACTCCACCTGGTGAATGAACCGACTTTATATTGTTGTTCTGTGCTGCTGCAGGGCATAGTGTCCCTGTGCCTGCAGTTTGAGAGGCTACTCCAAACCCACCTGCCTCAGCTCTTCTACCATCTTCGACAGATCGGTGCCCAGCCGTGAGTTAAAATACTTTGCCGTCCCACCTCTGTGATTACATCTACTTAATATACAGTGCAAAACTATGAATACACATTGACCTTTTTTCAGGGTGCCAGTGCATCCTTAAAAAGTCTTATATTTCTCAGATTAAGGCCTTAAAATAACTTAAATTCATTAGAAAATGTTCAAGTTGGCCCTAAATACGACATCCGCAGGTTTTATCTTTTGCCGAACCGGACTATTTAATCTTGTATATACAGTGTAGTTTGTTTTTCTCGTGGGAATTTTCTGTCAGACAAAAGTTTGAGTCGTGCACAAACATCATTAGGTTCTGTAACTCGAGGCAGTTGAGGCTACTGCTTATCAGCTGCTAATAAACCCTTGCTTGCTAGCTAGCTAGCTTTTTTGCGTCTACCATTTGTTAGCGTAAATTATCGCCAGTTGGCTGGAAAACATTCGTCTTTGCCTCTGACTCATTTCTGTTGTTAATCCATACATTGCCTTTTTTGTGCAAATAAAATCTAGGCACAACTATATAAAAATTGTGATTTCTCCAAGTCTTAAATTTATTTCACAATGGCCTTAAAAAGGTCTTAAAAAGTCTTCAGTCTGAGATGGTGAAACCTCTGCAGAATCTCTGTTTTTCACATTTTTATCCCATCACAACCACAAACTTTACTCTTTATTTTAAATTTGATGAGAAATGCCAATGCAAAGTACCAGAAGGCAAATAATACCTGGTTTTAATTTTTAGAAATCTGGTGTGACACGCTCTTGTTTTTAATCCCATTTAATCTGATAAAAAAATTCTTCCCCTTCATCCAATACACCTGACCTTGCACACAGAGACATGAGTATCCCTAGAGACTGTTGTTACTGTTAGCAGATTATTGCACTCTGATTCTTATGAGCTGCTGCCATCTAGTGTTTATGGCTTGAATTACATTTTTCTCTCTGTCATGGAATCATAAGTGTTGGTGTGAGAGGTAGCGGATGCAATCAGAAACATAAAAGTGTCACTGAAGAGTTCATATTTTCTCCTAAGGCTGCGTATTGCCTTTAAGTGGATGGTCCGGGCCTTTTCTGGATACCTTTCCACCGATCAGCTGCTCCTTCTTTGGGATCGAATCCTCGGGTATGACTCGCTGGAGGTGGTTGCAGGTCAGTACATCCTGAACTCTTACTTCCATATCAACTACGCTCTGGTTTCCTGACGTCATTCTCTATCTTTCCCGTCTTTTACTGTGCCGTTCTGCCCTCTTCTCCCCACCATACCGTCTCTTTCACCCTGCAGTCCTTGCAGCTGCGGTGTTTGCCTTCCGCGCCGAGAACCTGATGGAGGTGACATCGCTGGCCTCGGCTGAGGTTTGTCTGTTCCCGCTTTTAGACCTGTGTGTTCTCAGGTGCGTCTCAAACGAGGAGTCTGTTTCCCCGATTGCATACTCACAGAAAGCTAGAAATAGCTTCAGAGGGGCCTCCACCCTCTCACCCCTCGCCCCACCCAGCACGTTGACAAGCACTCGCCGTGTCCTCTGACACCCACGCATGCACAGGAGAACCTCTTTGTTTGTGCTTACAACCATTTTTACAGCGTCTCAAGTGTAGCCTTACATTGCTAATGTAACCCTGAGTGCAGGCTATGTGCAGGCTAATGTTGCCCTCCTCTCCCCTTTATGACGACGGGGTCAAGCGGCAGCATTATGTGGAGGGCAGTAGTTCTAGGGGGCACCATTTGCTTGCAAATTCTCCCACCTGCCCTACTTAAGAGAAGATATCATCATAACACACTGCTCCTTATTTTATATTTAGCGCCTCAGGCCCAGTGCTGAAATTTTAAACCCCCTTTCTAAACATGATCGTGTCCCTAAATTTAATCCCCCCCTAGTGAACCCAAAAGGACAGGGTGGGAATCTCGGATCATCCTGCTGCTCTCCTGTCCTCTGCGCATATTTGGCTTAACTTTTTATGTCTATATTAAAACGGATTGTTAGAGAGTTGTCTGACTTGTCTTTTTCTTTGACGATCGCACCGCAGGCCGTCCTCGCCGACCTCTCGACTCTGAAGGTCATACCGCTCATCCAGATCTTTCTTTTCGCCACCGCCATCTGAACGACACGAAGACTCTGGGTGTTCCGGGCTCGGTTCTCGTTGCACAACAATGAACACAAGCTGACTATTGAAAAGTGACATCAGGGGGCCACACCTCATCTAGCTCAAGCAAAAGGCCAAACGTACATTTAGCCCTATTAATAGTATTTTCCCTTTATGATGGTATTAGTTGTCATACAGTATGTAATTTAATCCTAAGGCCAAGCCAGCCTCATTAAACTGGAGGGAAAGATGATCCTCGCGGCAGTTCCCTGATCAGCTGAGGTGAATTACATGAAGCAGTAATTGTGTTGCAACGGCAGCGTGCGTGGAGACGCAACGGCAGTGGCGTCTCCGTGCTTGCCTAATGAAGTGTTAATTAGTTCCTGCCATTTATGCAGCCCAGCGGCTCCTGCTTGTTATTATTAAACTGTTAGATCCTTATGTTACCGATGAATGATTTGGCATCTTAGTTTGCTCCAGCATGATGAGAGAAACCTGCAAAAAGCCATGAACTGCAGTGCCATCCACAAATAAGTCTTGAAATGAATTCCTGTTTAATTGCAGTGGCATAATCTCACAGCATTTTTTTTTAATTGCCTGCTGTTTATACTGAGGAGCATAGAGAGAGAGGAGGCTTTTAGACCATTTGTTTTCATGCAGTCTGTCTTGGTTGGGCCCTCTTTCATCCTCATTTAGTTCTGTAATGCTATAGGAGGTTTATTTTTGTTTTATATGGTCTTGTTTTGACCATATCTGGATTATTATTTTGCCTGAAAAATCCAATGTACCTTCCTTTGTACATTCCCAGTTCCCAGTTGAGTCTACTAGGTTTTTTTTTTTTTATGTTGCGTTTTTGGCAAGATTTCCAATGTCTTTGAAAGAGAAACAGGTCCAGATCTTCACTCCTAATAAACTGTGCTCAACAGCGGACATAAGATGTTATTTTAATTGTCATTATTTTTGTTATTGCCAGGTCCACTTGGGACGTTTGCTGTCAAGAAGCTCAGTTTTACTCTAATCTGATCAAATCAAATCACATGGCTCCAGTTAATTCCTTGCATAAATGGCATGTTCTCTTGTCTTACCCGTTTTCAAAAGTGGCCAAAAGAAATGTTAAGTTTATAGAAGTTTAATTAAAAAAATTATTTATCATTGGTTTTAAAGGAATTGTTGGGAATGCCAATGCAATACCTCTAATTTTTTGAGAAGTAAAATAAAACAATTATTTCCCAAGATGCACGATTCCCCACAACAAATAACTTAAAAAAAAATTTCTTTTTTTTTTTTTTTTGTGTATGTGTGAGATTATGGTACAACATTAAAATAAGAATTTATTTTAAGTTTTTTTTTGTTTGTTTGTTTTTTTGTCCAATCCCACCCATGCTGGGTACGGGGTTGTGGGGCAATTTGTGTGGAGAACTCAGTAAATAACAGTGCTGTTTGTGTAACGTGCAAGCTGCTGTCTACATGCAGTTTATTGCATTTATGAAGGGTTACAACACACTTTATGGATGTTTAGCACCTTCAGTGCCAACATTGAGGTGAAGCGTTTTCTCTTTTTACATGACTTTAAATTATGAATGATCAATCGTGGCATTTTTATTCTTTGGAAGTCATTGTCATTGAATCTTGTGCTGCAAAAAAAGTTTTTTTTTTTTTTTTTTTTTTTTTTAAATTAAAGGTTATTAAGGTAATCACACCTGAAGTCCTCTGTGCTTCTTCTCTGAATATTTCTGTCGGGTTGTGTGACAAGATAAATATTTGGACAGGCACAAGTGTATGCTGGAGGCTCACAGCAATCATTTCTAAATGAGCCCCCCGCCCTACATGTAGCATATACCCTCGTTCTTGGCCGCCTCCCTCATCCCCTGCTGTCCTCTCTGCAGGCTGGTATCGAATTATGCTGTTCTTCTCTTTCGTCTTTCCTCTCCCCCTCCCGCGCCCGCCTGGATTCTGCTACATCTGCCACCTGTTTACTAGCACTCCCACGCCGGACTCTTTTATCAGTCATGCTCCTCCTTTGGGCCCCACAAGTCTGTCTGTTGGTCCTGCAACATGTACCTGCTATGGTGATTTACTCATACTGCAGTCCCTCCTGGTGGCCGATTCGTTGCATTGCAGGATAGCGTGCCTTCTGTCCATCAACACGCAGACGCTGGCCATCGTTGACGGATTTCGTTCTGAAATTTGAATCAAGCACAGTGATCTTAGCGGATGCTTGGGCAGCACTGTCTACTCCGATCGTCTTAGATTTTTCTAATCACAGTGCTGTGAAAAACTGATTTACCCCTCACAGTGGAAGCCAGGAGTTTACGTACACTGAATAAAAAGACACAGAAAGAGAGAGATTCAATTATTAATATCTTCAAAATCATAAGTTTACATACAATACGATAGCTGTCTCTTTAACCCTCCTAACTGTCATGAATGATGACATCAATGTCCTCATGGACACATTGGCTTACTTGTAAGCATTTTGAGGGTGACAGTTAAGGGGTTAAGCAAGAAGGGAAAGCCAAGGTGCTGATGTCACGGCTTTGGAAACGTCTGATAGGTCAACTGACACATTTGAGTTAACTGGAGGCCGACCTGTGGATGCATTTTTAGGGCCACACCTGGAACAAACTGCTTTGTTGTTTGACAAGACTTGAAAGTTAAAAGAAATCAGCCCAGAAATCAGGAAGAGAATTTTGAAGCTGAACAACTCGGGTTTATGCCTCGGGGGATGCTTGAAGGTGCCGCATATATGTGTTCAAACAATTACATGCAAGCGCAGACACGATGGGAATGTCTGTCATAGCTCTCAGGATGGAGACTGGTTCTGTGCCCCAGAGATGAATGCATTTTGGTTCGAAATGTGCAGATTGACCCCAGAACAAAAGACCTTGTGAAGATGCTAGTTGAAGCTAGTGAAACATGTAGAAATATTGAAATGGCATCTGAAGACATCAGCCAGAAAGTTCAAACTTGGTCGGAGATTCTTCCAGAGCTCCAGAGGTTACAAAGTGGTTTAAAGACAACAAAGTAAATGTTTTCTGTCTCCATGAAAAAGGCCTAATCTCAACCCTACGGAGAAGTTGTAAGCAGATCTGAAAAGGCGTGAAGGAGCAGGGTGGCCTACAGGCCTGACTGAGTTAAGCCGGTTCTGTCAGGAGGAATGGGACAGAACTATTCTGAGAATCTTGTGGATGGAAACCCAAACGGTTTTACCCAAGTTATACAGTTTAAAAGAATTATCCCCGATACTGACCAAATGCATACTTCTAAATTTAAATAAAATTATAAAAAATATTTAAAAAAAACCCTTCTTGCTAAGTTTTTTGTCATTTATCATCCATCCACTGACCTAAAAAGGAGAAAAGTGTGATCTAATTTAACTACTATGTGCATCTGTTTTTTTTTTAGTCAGTGTATGTCAACTTCAGATTATTTCAACTCTTTTTGAAATAATTTCAGAACTGCATTTTGCATTTACTTTGGTTAACTTTGTCTAATGCTTGATTTAAAAAAAAAAAAGAAAGTCAAAATGATACATAAGTCTGTAAGAAGTGAAATAGTTTTACTTCAAATTAGCATCAAAATAGCAAATTTTTTAGCTAATTCCGTAATTTACGGAATTACAGACCAGTACACACCATTCCTGTGGAGTAGCACACCACGCAACAAAAGTGACACAATGTAAACGGAGGGCTTTGTAGTGAGTACGCAGACGTGCACACATGTTGAAAAAAGAAAAGCCTTCAGAATTTCAGTTCACTCAGATTTTTGTAAATTTAGGTACATTATTCCCCCCCTTTTGCTTCCAGAACATCCCTGACCCAAGATAAATTAGCTTATCTGTTGGATCAGATGGCACAGGCCTGCCTTCACTCCCCACTTGGCCATTCAAGATGCTGTCAAAAATGTTTTTGATAACTGCTTTTGATAGATCATGTTCAGTCCTTGGAGAATATTTGCTAAACCAAGAGCCTTGTCCTTTTTCTTAAAAATCTGCAAAATTATTAGATTTTTTTTTCTGATGGAAAAAAGTACGATATATCTATTTTTAAATATTGAAAGGGAGTGTTTTTTTATTTACACTTAATTAAAAATGGCAGGTTAAGATTGTTTTACACGCTTATCAATATGGGGAAAAAACTGCAACAATAAAACCTTTTTAATAACTGCTTACCAGCTTTTTACATGTTTATTTATTTTGACAATTTATATTTGAGATCGGAAGACCTCTTTGCTATCACCCTTATATTTGATCTCCCTCCACAGATTGCCTATTAGATTCAAATTGGGACTTGGCCATGTCGCTCCAAAACGCCATTACTACTTCCAGACACAGGAAACATCTTGGTAAAATTTAAAGAGGACTTTACACCTATATTTCAGAGGTATGAATAATTTTGGGATTTCTAGGAGACCCCTCAAATGATTGACAAAGAAAGAACATCTAGACTGATTTTGTGCTGCACCTGAATAATACAAATTTCTCTTTCTGTCAATAAGGGAAACATGCACCATTTTAAAGTTTTGGATTTACCATGATTTACACTTTTCTCTCCTGCAAATAAATCTATTTGCCTGTGTGAATACTCTTGAGTTGACAAGTTACAAAATGTTTGGATCCCCTGATCCTGGTGTTCCTAATCTTGGACCTCTTGATTTCTGATAAACTGAAGACAGTCATTGGCCATTTTACTTGCACATTATGTAATTGTTTTAGGGATGTCATAATCATAACATCGTTCTACATTTTATTCTAATGTTATCTGAATCATGAATTGTATCATGAGGCTTATGTACGATGTTTCAAGGCTGCTATAAAGGTCTTATCCATAAACCCTGCGCTGACCATCAATAGCAACAACGTCCCTTTGTTTTCCGCGCGGAGCATCTTCAAAAACAGACAGAAGACTGTGCTGTTGGAAGCAACCAATCAGACGCTGCCATGTCGGGGCAGTCCAGCCAATGGGATCGCTCGGTCGGGGGAGGAAAACTTGGATGGGCCGACGGAGGAGAACAATGAGGCGGCTAAAAAACGTGCTCATCCTCCACTTCACTGTGGAAGAAGACACCACGCTAAGTTTCTGGAGGCTTCCGGGGGTTCTTACGTGATGTGGCTAAAGTAAACCCACGAGGCAACATTAGCTTAAATCCCCGGCGTAACAGGGAGGCGATAGCGCTCTGAATTTACCTCCATACAGGTACAAACACTCCCAGAAAAAGGTCTCTCCTGATCAGATGGTGTCCCGCACGCGAGGGCATTTGGAGGCAAACTACAGTTCCTCACCCGTCCTCACCCCTCCCTGTCCTTTTCGTCACGTCAAGCCGCTTTGCATACCGACTTCCTTCTCCCGCTGGTCCCCATCAGCCAGCCGGCGAGGCGAAGCGTAGCGAGCAGCAGCAGCTGATAACATGACGGGAGGATACTGTATCACGGAGAGCCATGAAGAGCTGACTTTAAAAACTTCATTCGGGAAGTAGGCGGATGTCGTGTGCGGCCGATATCCAGCTCGGAGAAGGACTACACGGAGAGGAGGAGCGGAGAAATGGATAATATTTGATGCAACCGGGATTTTTTTTGTTGTTGTTGTTTTTCTTGTTCGACGTGAAGAGGCGGAATATGCCGGTGTTTGTACACTACTGTACGTGGAAGTACACGGACTGTTTTTCTTCCCACTCACAGCTCTAACCTAAGGATTTAAATCGCCACTTTTTTTTTTTTTTTTTTGCTAATTGTAGCCCCGCGGTTTAAAAAACGCTACTTGTGCGTTGCTTATTTTATTTTGTTTTTTTTTTTAAACGTCGTAGTTATTGAGTGCTCTCTCCTACAGGCTTCATGTGATTTTGTAAGCTAATACACATTTTTAAATGTATAAAATTAGCCATGGGGTGGCCCCCCTCTTAAACAGCCTGTGAAACCATTGCACCTCTTAGCTCCCCTTTTTGACCCACCTTCAATTAATATTTCCTGTTAGCTAGCTTTCCCCTTATTACAGGTGTCTATCTTTTTTCGTGACACGGCATTTATTTTTCCAGTTATAATTATTCTGATTTAAAAAAAATATTTATCTTTACATTAAGGCTGCTAACTGCTGTCTGTTTTGCAATTAATTAACCCCTCGCAGGATACGAATTCCCTCATTTTCCCGTCCTAATTTCCACCATGAGTTATATGGTAGTAAATGTATTGCTACGTGGACTCGTCATCTATGCGGTACTGGGCTCGGAGTGCTCCTACTCGAATGATCTGCCAAGCCACTCGTCTGATGCTGCAAATGTAGCCATCACAGGTAAGATCAACCCGCTAGGTGCCTGTAATTTAAAAAAAAAAAAAAAAAAAATATATATATATATATATATTGAATATACGTGCAGGATTTACCCCCACCGAACACACAGCCTCCTCTTCCCCTCCTCCTCCTCGTTTCCCTCTGGTCCCCAGTGGTTTTCTCGGGGAAAGCCGAGGAAAGCCCTGCGCATTGATGGAGAGTGATGCATTTTTTTTACCCCTCCTGTACGTTGCTGAGGAATGCATGACATGACTAAAATGCAGGCTGCAGAATCTTTAAATGCAAGGGTATTGACTTTATTCATCAAGCACGTCAGGGAAATCATCCTGTGTTTACACGCAGTACTTTGTAAAAGTATTCACAACCCTTTCGCCTTCTATTTTTTTTATTTTTTTTTTACATTTTGTTCCCTCACAGCCACAAACCTTTTCGTGTTGTTTTTGAATCGGATCTGACAGAAGCAGCACAAAGAAATAGATATTTGAAAGTGGATGCACACTCTAAGCAGGTGAGAGCAGAATTAAATGTTATTAACACTGCACACTAATACCGTAATAACACCATCCCTATTGTAAAACATGGTGGTGGCAGGATTATTCCCTAGGGATGCTAGTTTTAAATAGGAAAACAAGGTTAAATTGATGGGGAAAATGGATGAATACAGGAGAATGCTGGAGAAAACCTGGGCTCGCCTACTACCAACACAACAACAACAACTCTAAATATACAGCCAGAGCTACGATGTTTAGATGGAAGCACATTCATTTGTTAGAATGGTCCAGTCAACATCCAGATCTAGATCCAATTGAGAATCTGTGTTATGGCTTTAAAATTGATGCTCTCCTTCAGGTCTGACTGACGTTACCACTTTGTGGGAACCCCCCCCAAAAAAAACAAAACAAAACAAAAACAAATTAAGCAAAGTTTCAAGCCTCCAGATTTTCAAAACTTGTACATTTATACAATAGACTGTTGAGCTCTCAGAAAATTCTTGTTGCAACACATTAAAGTTAATAGCAGGGGCAAAGTGTGAATACGTTAGGAAGTCATTGTATGTTCTTGATCGTTAAAGCCTCAGATGAACTCGCTCACCCTTCTTCACCCCCTTTTAACTGCAGTATTGACATAAACTAATGAGAGCACTATTTTCTATCCATTTGCATCCATCTTTAACTAGGCTTTATTGATTGAACAGACTGAACAGCTCTTCACACTGTGCCTTAACTGGCAGGGTTAAATACAGACGCCAACTTATGTGTTACTTTGTGTCATAAAGGATATGTACAATACTTTTGGGACACTAATATGTGCTCCAGCTGTCTTTTCCTTTATTTATTCATTTGGCTTTATTTAATATTCCAGTCAGAGGTTTACATATGCTCATCAAGGGCATAAATATATTCATCTTTGGGTTTATTTCCCAGGAAGGATCACACAACACAAAATTGTAGTCACTAAACAAGAACTGGGTGCTAAAGTGTATTAAATTTGTTAAGGGTTTTCTCTGATCCACACATACAGTAGTGAAAATACAGCCACCTTCGTTGTTAGATAAGCAGCGTTTTCATTTATAGTGTCAGGCAAAAAGCAAATGAACATTCCACAACCTTTTTATTTATTTTTTTAGCTTTCAAGAAGTTAGTCGCATCCATTTGTTTTAGCTTTGCGCTACGCTACACAGTTTCTCTGACTTCAAAAGACTTTTTTTTAGACACAAGATGCTTTTATGTTCTCAAGATTTTTTCACAAAATGCCCTTTTTTATGAAATTAATCACTTAACAGTAGTCTATGAATCATTCAGGCCTAAAAAAAGCGACACTTCACATCGATGGCCCAGCCTAAAGAGTGAGTTACTAACGGGCGTACTTTTTCTTGGATGACTGACCTTAAAGATGACCTTTAAAGAGCTAGACAATACTGGAGTACACCTGATATAACCTGGAACCACGGAGGATTGTTGTAGTTTGTGAAGGTTGCATGTTGTACACCGAGTCCGTCTTCTCCTTCTCCAGACACTTTGTTCACATCACAGTTTTGTCTTCTTTGAGGAAACAGTTTCTTTTCACAGGCTCTGTTGCCATGTGACCAGGAAAAAGTCCAGGAAGTTGATGTTGCCCTGCTGGCAAATACTCAGCCACAAAATCCTGCTCTAGAAATGGGTCATTTGTGTTTTCGTCCTCCATTTTATCACAAATTTAACGGAGCCGAACAAAATGTGTCGCTGGTAGTAACTCAAAAACAGCCAGGGTACTTTCTAACTGCTGTACCCAGACTTACACCTGATCTTACCTCAGTGTGAAGCATGGCTGTTTGACGGATAAATTAAAGCATCGCGAGTATCAGGCTTTCTGCCGAGCCCGTCCAAAAGCGTTCTGCCAAAGATGTGAATATACTCTGGTGCACATTAGGGATTCTGGAAGCCACAATGCATTTCTTAATCAACTTATTAGAATATTACGGCAGCTTTCAACCACGTCGTCTTGTACTTTTTGTACTTTGTGTAGTTAGTTTCTTTTATATTTTATGGCCTTAATAAATGTTACTTTTTATGATGATTTTGTCCGGTCATGAGGAAAAGAAAATGTTTATGATGGTCAACGCATTAATGAAGAAAAAAAATAAATAAACCCTAAGTATACCCCGTTTGCCGTAATTTTCTAGAAGGGATTCTAGAAGCCCAGTTCTCTTAATCAAGTTGATCGACAGTTGTGACCGCTCTTTCTAAAAGCAGGAGTTGAGTTACTTTGACAGGACAGATCCGACAACGATCAGTTAGGTCTGCAGAGAGAATCATCAGGGTTGACCTCCACCCCTTCAGGACTCGTAAAGGTCTAAGGTCAGGAAAAGGGCAGCTAACGTCTCTGCATACCCCACATATCTTGGATATATAAACGGTTTAGGTTTTTACCTTTAGAGCACTGTTTGAAAAAAACAGCCACGATGGGGCCAATTTTTCCCCCAGACTGTCTCATGCTAATTCAACTGTCTTTCTTTTTATGTTAAAAAAAAACAACAACAAAAACCTCTAATAAACAAGAGGAAGGATTTCGAGGTAATTTTCAAACAATTTAAAATCCATTCTCTGGTAACAAATATTAGTGGCACGTAAACATTGAACAGTTTCCCATCTTTCCCTGGAGTGAATATCCCACAAATTTAAACAAATTTACCACATGGTTATTATCTAATGTTATGAGAAATTCCAAATAACCCGAGAGCCTGTCAGAAATGCCACGGTGGTCGTGCATAAATGTACACTCTCAAACCAAATTGGCTCGAGGCAATGTTGTCATAGAGATGGAAGAGATTTATAAAGTCATACAGAAAAGGATTATGACAAGGTATTGCTGCTATAGGTGGTGTTATGACTAACAAAATGATGGAGCATGCTTAGCAGGTTTCCCCAAGTTGCATTTAAATAGTCCTTTGTGTAAGTCAGGTAAGGGTCTGAGTTCTATGATGATTGTTATTTTCTAATACAGACCAGTAATTGAATAATAAATCACACGATCTTCATCAGAGGTTGTAGTTTAGCTGTTTTTGGTATATTTATTTATCTGTTCTTTCTTTTTTATGCTTGTTGTACACGTTAACTGTCCACACATGAAATTTTGTACAGCTGCAAGCGGAGTTTTCTTTTTAAAGATGCTTCCCTGATGTAAATATTAGTTTTCCTCTTCAATGTTAGTGTTAGATAAATCCAAAGTGAAACCCTAGTTTCTTATTCTATCCTCTGCTTGACTCCTCTTCTTTTGTGAGCTGTTTATGTAGACCAATATGTGCCCAGGTGCCAGGCTGCTAGCTTCACAAGCAGCCTGACAAATGTTTAGCCTTAAATTCATTTAAATATGCATATCCACCCAATACGTCCCACCCACGTGTGGCAGAGCTGCAGGAGAAGGTAATAAACCTCATCTGAGGCAGCTGGTAAACATTCAGGACCGTGTCTTTACAAGTGTGAATCCAGTCGCTGAAAATAAACCCAGGATACATTCGGTTTATTGATTAATAAGGCAGAGACGCGCTCTGCCTTTTCCAGCGTGAGAGCGGCCCAGGAGCTGGCGGCGACCCTCTCTCCTCCAGCACGCAGCGGAGCAAAGTGGATGCAGAGATGGCAGTGATTTAATACAATGTCAGTAAACATGACCGCAGTGTTAGCCGTTTCCCACACGGCTCCCTGGAAAGGTCAGATGCCCTGGTGTCAGGCTAAGAAAACACAAGTCTCTGTTTGAGTGTGTTCGTGCAGAGGTCTCCTTACAATCTAATGTGTTTCAGTTGCTCTCAGATTTTCAAAGGGTCCGGATGGTTTGGGGGGTTTTCCATTAAAAGGCTGGACTTTATAACTATTAAGCAAGACCTTAGAACAGTAAAGCTGTTATAGTCTTTACTTAAGTCATCTCTTAGTGAAGTCGTCAATACATTTCATTCTTCTTCTCTTTACCTTTGTAAAATGTGTCCCTTTCAGAAAGCATTTCCCTGCCAATGACAATGACAAGATACAAACAACAGAGAATAGTAATGATCTAATTCACATTTTTTATATATTTGAGGTATGAAAATTCATTTGGAAGGCCTGCAGATTTTTGACTTTTTAATCGAGCTCAGAGATGAAGGCTGCTCTTATCCAATCCTCTCAGGCTTCAAAGCTGCCATTTAGCCTGCTGGGAGCAGCAAGGCGGTGAAACTGTAGGTGGGTCAGGTATATCCCCCCTGCGATTTGGGATGTTCAAAGATCCGGGCACGGGTTGAACATAACCGGTTACTGGAGGGATAACTGCAGATGTTTTGAAATGGAAATGTTGACTTTAAGCTTAGAAATTTAATGCTAAATCTTTGAGTACATACTGTCCTGGCCAGAGGTTTACTTTCAGCCATGATGGACATAGATGTCATGCAAATGATTATGTAAAATACAGGTGCACTTTGTTTTAAAAGCAAGGATTAGGCGCACTGGTGTGACTCTTGCGTGTTACTTAATCCAGACAAGATGAAGTTAAAC